ACGTCAGCGCATAAACAAAGCGTTTACGCGAATGAAAACTAAGGGCCTCGCAACGGTCAATGTTGCAAGCAAACAGCGCTCTGCTTCTGCTTGGTACCTCAAAGACTCATGAATGCAGGTTTGTGGACACATGGTTCACCCCTAAAAGCGCACACCACAGGTGCGCGATCGAGAGAACAGGCAGCAGATGCAGCAGTGCGTCGTTGTTTTCTCGTCGGCTCTTGCGCAGAAAGGCTTTTGATGAAGTTGCGGTTGAATTGTCACTTAGGGGGTCGTGAATACTTCTGTTAATACTTCTTTCTCATGTTTCGGTCAACCGGAGCAAGATCCCGGACCACTAAACCCCAACCCTCCACCCTCCAAACCCAACCCCGAATCCTGGCTCCACCAGCCCCTCAATGTCTGGCGACAGCTAAGGCTGCTGCAGTACGCGCAGGCCTGGGGAGGGCCTCCAGGTTATTGCTTTGACTTTTGTTGGCTTTAGGGTTAATGGGTCTGGAACTTGTCGGGTGCCAGAATTGGGGCTTTGGCGTGGTGGTTGGGGTGTTCTGGGCTTCGTGGTTGAGGGTCCGGCTGATGCTTGTGGTTTCGTGCTCGCAGGTCTGTTTAGGGGAGCTATGTCATTGCGAGCCTTGAGGGGGGGATAGCTTGTTTTGTTTGCATGTTGCCCGTAGGGCTCTAGGGCTTCAGGATTGTGAGCTCAAGACTTTGGCGTTGGTCGTTCTGGGTTTGAGGGTTGCTTTGCTTGGACATTTGGGACGTTTTCAAGGTTCAGTGCTTGGCGCCTGGGCACTCCGAGTTTATGTGCGCGCTTAATCGCGCGATTTCATCAATGTGGTCTTCAGAGTTCTCTTTGAACCCCAATCCCTGCAGGACTTTGTGGACACGTGGTCCTATGAGTTTGCCCACTACATTCCCTCTCGGCTGCTTGGGGGAGCCAGAACGAGCCTGTCATCTTCGAAGGTACCCAAACTCTCAACCCTCCAGACCCCACACCCCTAAACTTCGGGGCTATAAGGAGGGACCCCCTAAGCCTTATCCCCCACGTAACCCCTCTATATTCGGTATGTAGTCCCTATGTAGTCCCTATATAAACCCCAAACCCCAAACCCCCAAACCCCAAACCCCCAAACCCCAAACCCCCAACCCCAAACCCCAAATCCCAAACCCCAACCCCAAACCCCAAACCCCCAAACCCCCAACCCCTAAACCCCAAACCCCAAACCCTAAACCCCAAACCCCAAACCCTAAACCCTAAACCCTAAACCCTCGTTTCCTAAAAGGGATCATCAGCACCACCCAGGCTGCGCGCCGATGGCTTCGGCTGCTCCAACGGCGCCGAGCTGGACGTGACACCGGCGCGGTCGTCCGAGTATACGAGCCGGGGGCTGCAAAATCACGGGTTTAGGGTTCAGGGTTTAGTTTTTAGGGTTTTGGGTTTTAGGATGTAGGGTTTAGGGTTTAGGGTTTTGGGTTTTATGGGATTTAGGGTTTAGGGTTAAGATTTCAGGTTTTGGGTTGCAAGAGTCCAGGGCTTGAGGGTTTGGGGCTCAGTTCTCGGCAGGGGCACGGATGTTTGCTGATTCCAGCTTCTAAGGCACGGCAGGGTGGTGATGGAAGGGCTTCCGGCTTCCTTTTTGTTCGGGCATGTCGGTGTTTGTAGGGATGGAACGCAGAGGGAGTCAGAAGAAGGAGCAGACATGGTCTTCCGTTCTCCTCAGCCACTTTCAGCTCCTTGCTGCCTTCGCCCCACTTTTACATTAGATGAGCTGTGCATGAGCCGAAACATCTCGGAGCACCAAGCGCCGAATCTCAGGAAGCTCTTTGCCGTGCACGGTGACGAGGCCACTCTCAAGTCTGGAGCTATTCCAGTTAGAAGTCTGGGCCCTTCAGGGATCCAGAATTACACTCCCATGATTGGGCCCTTGCACTATACCGTACCCTGCATGCTTGTAGTTGTGAAGTCCTGCCGCCGGTGTGAGCCGTCAGAGCCCCTCCAGAAAAAGTTGAAAGAAACAGGTTGATATGGCAGGTGTTTCAGCCCTGCGCGACTCTCTGAATCCAAACCCCTCGACGCCCCTTGTCGGCATTGATTGCACCGTTCCTGTGGGAGAACCCTGCGCCCAGGTGAAGTTTGTCTTCGGAAACGAGGTGTTCCGGCAGCACAATAGGGCGCACCGAGAGCCGCAAGCATGAGGGCCTCGGGACCCGAAACCCTGAACCATCTCTAAACACCGCTTGAATGGGCTTCTTTTGAAAACTCGGGGTGGCTACATAGATCCAAGACACGACCAAGCCCTAAACCCTAAAGCTTCCTGTAAAGGTTGGCCCGGATGGATTGGGCCCTCCGAACAACAGGCCGGGGTAAGAGCTGCCCGCACCGCTTGGGGATCTATAAAAGGGTGCCCTATTTTCGCAAACCCCCAGGTGTTGGGCGCTTCAAATGGCTCAGGGAAAGGAGGGCTTTGGACTTCGGCTGGCTCTCTCGGCTTTCGGCTCGAGTGCTGAGTGTGTTAAGATTTGAGAGCCCCTTGGCAGTACAGGCCCTGAGAATTTAGAGAGGGGCTGTGCATCCCCCCAGGTCACCCTCCGTGTTAGGTTGTAGGGTTAGGGTTTAGGGGTTTAGGGGTTTAGGGGTTTAGGGGTTTAGGGGTTTAGGGGTTTAGGGGTTTAGGGGTTTAGGGGTTTAGGGGTTTAGGGATTTAGGGGTTTGGGGTTTGGGGTTTAGGGTTTGGGGTTTTTGCTTTGCCAGGACAATTTGCACTTTTGATGGCGGCGAGCGGGCGTTGAGCGCGCAGATGAGCCGCTTGTCATTGGCAAGTATGCGACTGACTGAGGGGCTTCATGCCTGTAAGCATGCAAGCAAAGCCGCATCGCCTACACTTTCCGTTCTGAACCTTCCCTAAACCCTAGACCCTAGACTCAACCCTAAACCCTATATAAACCCTAAACCTTAAACCCTAAACCCTAAACTCGAAACCCTAAACCCTAAACCCGAAACCCGAAACCCTAAACCCTAAACCCTAGACCTTTGAGTCCCCAAGCCCTGGATCCAATGGACACGCGTTTACAGGAGCGCACTGGGCCGCATTCGCGACAGGAGGCCGGCCGTTGTGACTGGGCTGCCCGTTTTGGTGGTTTGGGTTTGGGTTTAGGGGATGGGTTTAGGGTTTAGGGATTAGGGATCGATTAGGGGATGGGTTTAGGGTTTAGGGTTTAGGGGAAGTTTGCGCTTGGGACTTAACACCCGGCTGGGTTTCTGGGTGAGGGGCTTCGGTGTCAGGGTTTGGAGCTGAGATGATGGAGCTCGGCTGTTGGGAGTGGAAGAGGTGGCGTTCTCTCGACTGTTTTGACGAAGCACAGGCCCGAAGCCCATCTAAGCCCGGCACTTCAGAGTCACCACCCCTAAACCTCCAAGACCCAAACTTGCAGATCACCCGAGGGTGTCTTGGCCACGCTACACCGGGACCCTCGCAGATGCGGACACCCTTGCAGCCCAGCAGCAAGAGGAATTTTCGAGGCCTGGGTTAGGGTGATGGACCCTCAATTAGCACTCAGATTTATGAAGGGAGCGACAGTTCAGGATGTTCAGGTTCTTGTGTAGAAGTATACACAAGCGACTCAAAGTAGGCCTGGCTACTCAGTACACGGTAGTTTCTCAAGAACTTACTCAAGCATCTCTACCAAAGCATCTACTCCGCATCTCGTCAATACTCAAGTATTTACTCGAGCAGATGCTCTTAAATAGGTGGTGCTCAAGCGCAAGTTACCCTACCAACAGCCAGATTCGGCTATTGCCTCCTGAAAGTACTTCTCACATTCGTAGAACAAGTAATTACTTCGTCCATGGCTTGACTATCAGCACGCTATTTGCTTCAAAACTTGAATGGATCTTCTCATGTGGTAATGAAAGCACGAGCCTCTGGCTGAGTGGTAACATTTCGAGACAAGCAAGCCTACAAGACCTCATTGTAGCCACAAGTAGCTACTGAACTTCGCTCTCCAGTGGCAACATCATCTACTCAGATTGCTACCCAAATGTGTACTCATGTCTAGCCATGAAACCCTGCACTGAAAGCCATCGACCCAAAGCCCCAAAACGCCGAATTCCCGACCCTAAGCCCTACACCCTACACCCTAAACCCTAAACCCTAAACCCTAAACCCTAAACCCTAAACCCTAAACCCTAAACGAAGCCTTGTCTTCTTTAGGTCTTCTCGGATCCGTCGGTGGATGGGCTCGGAGTTGCGGTGGAGGGCGGCATGCACGCCGCAGACTGCGACTTCTGGCAGACGCCGTGCGCTTAGTCAGGTCCGTTTGAGAGAAGCTGACAGCAATCGCAAGGGCACAGCCTGCGCTCCATTTCGCATACGATGCCAGCTACTTGTGGGTATTAGATGAGGTTCTGATTCTTGGCAAGAATGTCAAAAGAAGGGTTTGGTCAGATTAGTCCGCTGGGCCTCACTGGGCGAGTTTCTTGCCGATGGTGACTGCCCCGCCAAGGCTTTGGGCACCACCTGCAAGATCTGAAGTGACCTTCGTTTAGGAAGGAGCCCCATGAAACTCATGAGAGTTCCTGGTGGTTTGTGGTGGAGATGATTTGATTGGATCTCTCCACGCAGACCGCAATGCGGAATCCTGACCCCGAGCCCCTGCCCCAAGCTCCCCATGTACAGAAGGAGGACCGAGTGCTCCGAAGGTGTGTGTGAGCGTGTGCGCGCGGGCAAAACCTCCTGGCTTTGATTGCCAGACTTCACCGCAGCAACTTCAAGCAGTTTCGGGTTTGGGATGCGACACCTTTTCGCATCATTGGAAGATGTTTCCTAGTAAGGAGGCATCGGTGTGCCCCAGTCATAGCGGCTGGCTACCGGCTACCGTTGCCTACAGGAACCCCCCAAGCCCGACGCCTCTAAGCTTCACATCTTCCACCCTGAACATCCTGAGGCCTAAACCTGCACAGCGAACGGAGTTGAGCCCCCCTTCATCCCGCTTGTGCAGAGGCCACCGAGCGCCACCCCTGGGAGCTTTGGATCGAGGTGGGGCCTCAGCCCTATGCCCACGGCTCCATGCCGTGAGATTCTGGGTTTAGGCAATTAGGGCTTTTCGCCGTGTTAAACGCTGCAAATTCGAAGGTGAACTCACGACGCTGGATTCGTGAAACATAGTCGACCGTAGCTCTCGGGTCCAACTGCATGTGTGCATCCCTCTCAAATCCTTGGACATCCGAAATTTGCAGCTGAATCTTGACTTGCTCGAACGGGCCCGTATCGTTGAGGGAGCACTGCTCGCTCCACTTACAAACCTGGGCCGTATATTTTCGATAGCGGGATGACGACGAAGATCTTCGGCACGCAGAACGAGCTGGAGCCAAACGATCCGTGCTAAGACACGCCTCGTGTCAGTTGCTCGAATGATCCCGTCAGTGCTGCGCGGTCCCTGATGAACCGTCGGACTTGACAAAAAACCAAGAGCCAAAAGGATCCATGCAAGGGCATGCTTCGTGTGTCGTTTGCTTGGATGATGCCTTTTGTGCTGTGCAATTCGTTTTTGATCATCAGGCAGGGCACGCCGAACAAGCCAGATGCAAGATGATCTGCCTCTTGTGAATCGCTTGAATGATGCCTTGAGTGCCGCGCCATCCATTTTTGATCATCGGACATGATACCGATCTCGGGCACACTGATCAAGTCAGAGGCAAGATGATCCGTGCAAAGACGCTTGTGAATCGCTTGAATGATGCCTTGAGTGCCGCGCCATCCATTTTTGATCATCGGACATGATACCGATCTCGGGCACACTGATCAAGCCAGAGGCAAGATGATCCGTGCAAAGACGCTTGTGAATCGCTTGAATGATGCCTTGAGTGCCGCGCCATCCATTTTTGATCATCGGACATGATAACGATCTCGGGCACACTGATCAAGTCAGAGGCAAGATGATCCGTTCAAAGACTCTTGTGAATCGCTTGGATGATGCCTTGAGTGCCGCGCCATCCATTTTTGATCATCGGACATGATACCGATCTCGGGCACACTGATCAAGCCAGAGGCAAGATGATCCGTGCAAAGACGCTTGTGAATCGCTTGAATGATGCCTTGAGTGCCGCGCCATCCATTTTTGATCATCGGACATGATACCGATCTCGGGCACACTGATCAAGTCAGAGGCAAGATGATCCGTTCAAAGACTCTTGTGAATCGCTTGGATGATGCCTTGAGTGCCGCGCCATCCATTTTTGATCATCGGACATGATACCGATCTCGGGCACACTGATCAAGCCAGAGGCAAGATGATCCGTGCAAAGACGCTTGTGAATCGCTTGAATGATGCCTTGAGTGCCGCGCCATCCATTTTTGACCATTGGACTTGATTACGATCTCGGACACACTCATCATATGTTTTTTTTAAGGGGCTGCGCCCATGGGCGGGCAGCGCAGGCAGAAGCGGGGGCGAGCAGTTTCTAAGCATTTTGAGGCCCCTAAACTCCCTTAAAATCTCTAAGCGTTCGAGGCTCCTCAACTCCCTTAAAGTTTCTAAGCATTTTCAGGCCCCTAAACTCGTTTGAGGCTCCTAGACTCCCTTAAAGTTTCTAAGCACTTTATAAGGCCCCTAAACTCCCTTTTTCCTAGCCCCGGGCTGAGACACGTCGCTTATGCCCGCCCTTAGGGGGGCATCATGCTCCTGATGCGCCCCCGGGCTGATGCTCCTGATGCGCGCCTGGGGGTCCCGGGCTGGACCCGCTGATGCTCATGATGCGCGCCCTCTGGGGGCCTCCGTGGCGACGCAAAAAACCACGAACAAAAAACCGTTCACCGGGCACGCGGGGGTCGGCGGCACTGGCGTCCGGCCTAATCGGGCAGCGCGAGGTCCCCAAGGACCGAGCATTGGCGGACCTTTTAACCCGGGTCGTCCCGGGAATAGCCTTGCTAGCAAGCAGAATTGGCCGGACGCCAGTGCCGCCGACCCCCGTGTGCCGCCGGTGAACGGTTTTTTTTTTTCGTGGTTTTTTGCGTCGCCACGAAGGCCCCCACCGGGGGCGCATCAGGAGCATGATGCCCCCCAAAGGCGGGCATAAGCGACGTGTCTCAGCCCGGGGCTAAGGAAAAAGGGAGCTTAGGGGCCTTGTAAAGTGCTTAGAAACTTTAAGGGAGTCTAGGAGCCTCAAACGCTTAGAGATTTGAAGGGAGTTTAGGGGCCTGAAAATGCTTAGAAACATTAAGGGAGTTCAGGAGCCTCAAACGCTTAGAGATTTTAAGGGAGTTTAGGGGCCTCAAAATGCTTAGAAACTGCTCGCCCCGCGCTTCTGCCTGCGCTGCCCGCCCATGGGCGCAGCCCCTTAAAATTCTGCTTCGCAGAAGGCCGCAGGCTAGCAAGGCTATTCCCGGGACGACCCGGGTTAAAAGGTCCGCCAATGCTCGGTCCTTGGGGACCTCGCGCTGCCCGATTTTATGGCTACCGCCAATGCCGCCGACCCCATCCTAAGAATTGAAGCACGCTAACATCGGGCAGGCACCAAGAGGTGGGAGGGCGGGGGGGGCGGGAAGGGTGGGGGGGGCGGTGGGGGCGGGGGCAGCAAGGGCAGCGAGGGCGGGGGTTGGGCATGCACTGGAGCCCTTAAATTACAGCCCGACGTCGCCAATACTTGACCAGACATTGATGCTGCCAAGAAGTTGGTGCCTGATTGTTGAAAGAAGACAGCTTGAGATATCAGCAAAGTGACCGCGTGGACGAGGCGTCAGAGAAGTGTTGGTAGAACAGCGGAACAAGTGGCCTTGTTGAAGTGCACGATCCTTCGATGCAGAGGGCTCTATCGTAAAGGCGAATTCAGATTTCCGTACATCAGAAGAATGCAACGGTGCTCGAGTACTTGCAAGTGTGGTTGCTGTGGTTGGCTTTACCATGCGGCATGCCGCAATTTTGATGGAGTGGCAGTTCCTGGGGCATCCTCAAATCAACGCCACAAATCCCGAGTCCGAGCACCTGCGCCTAAACGAGGGTTTGGGTTCCTTCCGGGCTTGGACTTCGAAACTCCACCCCTACCACCCTAAACCCTAAACCCTAAACCCTAAACCCTAAACCCTAAACCCTAAACCCTAAACCCTAAACCCTAAACCCCACAATTTCACTCAGGGTACAGGCCCACACCAATCCTCTCGTCTCTTGGTGGCCAGGTGCTGCTCCTTCGTTTGCTGGAGTCCTTGTCGGAGCAAGGCCAGGCCTTCGAGAAACCCCTTGAGGGTTTAGGGTTTAGGGTTTAGGGTTTAGGGTTTAGGGTTTAGGGTTTAGGGTTTAGGGTTTAGGAAACCCCCCCTTCCCCCCTTCCCCCCCCCCGTCCCATCCACGATCCGAGTTCTCCTCCGCGCACCCACAAGTCACAAGCGCTGAAGAGTCCCAAAGCGTGCCCCCCCCAGACCACGAAAGCACTCCAAAGCCGCAAGCCCTGACGTTCTGTTGGCCCAAGATGCGTCGTGCCAGTGCAGCAGTGGGCATTTTTGGCCCTAGCAGTGCTTTAAGCCCCAGACTCTCAACACCTCTCACTCGTGTCCCTACAAACCCTTAGCCCGAACCAGCTTTTGAGAGGTCTCCATGCGCCCGAGTACATCGCGGCACTTTACCACCAAGTTCGATGGGGCGAGATCGACGAGGCCTGGGGCAAGGGTACTCTACTTGTGGCTTGCGGGGTTGTCGGGCTATGCGGTATTCGTATTGGGGAACTGAACGGGCTTAGGATGGGTTGGTGTTCAAAACTCTTCGTGCCGTGGTAGCCTATCAACCTCAGCTTGCAGTGGTGTTTGATGCTTCATGTAGCACCACGCCGGGACAAGGAACTGCAAGTCTGAGGGTGCGTAAATGATGCCTTGTGAATCAAGGCCTCACAGACTCAATGCCGGTCAGCCAACAACCTGAACTTAATATAGCCGGAGTCATGCAGAGGCCTCATGCCCAGGCCAACTACCCAACCCAGACCCCGAAGCTTTCAGTTCAAGCCCCCCTACATCCTGAAGCCCTTGAACCTGAAACCCTACGCTCCCAAAGGTGCGCCTGCCTCTAGAGTCCAGTTTCCTCCTGAAGTATGACGACATCCTCCGTGGGGTGGAGGCCACCTGTTGTGGCAGTTTGTGAGAGGGTAAGAGTGGCGGGTCAGGGTATAAACGGGCCAAAAATGGGATACTGTCTACCGTGGGCCCTTCCGCCAAGCGCGGGACACAACTTGCACTCGAGACTGACTGGTTGAGTACCTCATGGTGAGAGCCCCTCCGGGTCTGGCGGCCCTTAAGAGGCGAGAAGGACACAAGGCTGCCAGGATGTAGTCAAGCAGCCGCAAGCTTTAGTAGGGGCCCTCAACCTTGGGCCTTATACGAAGAAGCTCCTTCCTCCAAAGCTCGCCCTCCGGCTTCCTGTGACTGTGTGAGGCCATCCGAAAGAATGGAGACCCCTTCCGCGGAGGAATCAACTTCGACGCCGTACGGCTGCAACCAGAGGTTATGGGTGGTTTTATGGGTGGTTCGGGTCGGGGCCTAGAGAAAGGGTGTGCCTTGTTGGGAGGCAGACTTTGAGAGTCTGTTGCCACGGACTATGGACGTTGTCTGGGTAGCGCCTGGGACTTGGGGGTTGCTGACATTCTAGGGATCTCTCTGCAAAAAGCCCTCCCTTCACTTCAAAGAACAATGCCATGCGCCGTGTAGCATCCAGTGGAATGTTTGCTATCAGTTTGCATCACGTGGGCCTGCAAGAGGCCCCTTTCTCCTTACCAAGTAGATTTCAGCAAAAGAGACAAGCCCTGACATTTCATGCGGCAAAGCCCTCGCTCGGAACTCCTGGCTGAGCTCGCTTTTGATGCGCCGTTCTGGATTCCAATGTTGGGTAAGCTAAGGGGGCTCAGGGCTGAGGGTCAAGTGAGTTGGCTGGCACTTCGTTGTCTCGAAAATCAAGCTTGCGCAAGGGGCTCAGGCTTGCCAAAGCACTCAAGCGCCTCTTGGCTTCTGTGGACCCTGCCCGAGGATGTGAACGAGCTGGGTCTCGAGGGTCGCTGCGGCCTCGGACAGCCATGCTGCTCCTGGGTTTCTTGCCCGCCTCACCCTTCTAAACTCAAGAGGTCCTGCCTTGGAAGCTGGAAGCTAAGGTTCTACCCTTCAGGTTGGGGAAATTGATTCTTAACGGCTTTGCAGACAGGCTTAAGGAGCGTATAGGGGAGAGTTTAGGAACACTTTCCGGCAGCACACAGGGGACCCCAGCCTGGGCGTCTGGATGCCTTGATACACATCACTGCCCTGAACCCTGAACCTCACCCCGTATGCCCGGCAGCCCTCAACCTCAAAATCCCTACACCTCCGAGCCCTAAACCCTAAGCCCCAAGCCCCAAGCCCCAAGCCCTAAACCCTAAACCCTAAACACCAGAAAACACCGCAAACTTTAAACCTCGAACTTCAGAAGCTTTCTGTCTGATGGGTTTAGCGGGGTTGCGGCTCGCATGGCTCTGCCAAGGCCTCGACCCAATGTCGAAGACCTACCGCGAGGTGCTTTCTCTTTTTTATTTTTCATGCTTCGAGGGCTTTAGGACACGTGGGGTTTCCGAAAAATGGGGACACCCCCCCAACATGGGTCCCTTTCAGGGGATTCTCTTCTATTTTGGGAAATACCCACATAAGATTACGAGTTAGTGCTTTTGGGAACTGCAGAAGCCTGCAGAGACAGCACCTTTGTCGAGGCATCTTCGATGTGGGTTGTTCTGGACTTGCTGTCCGTGGCTCAGGTCAGACGTGGCCCTTCCACTAATCCCTACCCCGCAAAATCCCGCAAAAACCCCAAATCCTAAATCCTAAACCCGAAACCCTACACCCTAAACCCTAAACCCTTAAACCGTAAATCCAGCCCTTTTAGGAGAGGTGCCTTGGCTGGGAGAGGCGTTCGTTCGGGCTTGTGCTGTCTCCGGGTCGCTTCGGCTTGCCTGTTCCCATTCGACATTCCCTGGCACACGCCCGCGAGGGTGGTACGGATGCTAAGCAGCTCTTGTAAGGCTGGCGCCATGTAGCCCGTTGGAGTCGAGCCAAGCTCGGTTAACAATCTTAGCATAGTTCTGTCCCTGCTAGAATGGAGAACGCCGAAAGAGAACACTGGCTCTTCTGGGTGAGCACGGGAATCAACCGGACAATGACGCCACACGCCTGGACGTCACAGCGGTCGCACCAAGGCAGCTGGCGTGTGCGAGGGGTGCTGCTCTCCACATTCTCGCTAGGAATGGGAGCGAATACTGGTGGAAGGGTATGATCCAGCCCTCGACAGGCACGTCCCTGTGCCATGGTACGTCCTCATGCGGATCGAAAAGCTCGCGGTCATCCTGGCTGGTGGCACGCAGCCATTGTGTGCGGCCCTGCGTCTTGCAGGCCGGTCCGCAAGGCCGCAGGCACGCGGTTAGTTGCCACGGGTTGTTTGGAGTCTGGGCTTGTTTGTGGGTGTAGGGTGGTTTGGGGTTGAGGCTGAGAGTTGGGGGTTCGGGGCTGCTTTGGGGTTTACTATATATGGGCTGTTCAGGGTTCAGGGTTTCGGTTGAGGACTTGGAATCTCCCAGGGTTTAGATGTTAACTCTTAAGGTTCTTTTGATGAGGCTCGCGGCCTGGAAGTGTGCCGCCCCTGAAAAGCCCGAACGCTGCCAGCCCATAAGCCTAGAATGCCTAGACTGCCGAGAGCCCCAGAGCCAGCCCTCCACCCACATGATCCCGGAGCTCCACTGGACTTGAGAGGAGAGATCCTACGCTCATCTAGGATGTGTGGATTAGGGTTTTGGGGGGTGGGTTTTTCGGTTACAAAGGTTCAGGGGTTGAGGCTACTGTATGGTTTTTTCGGCACTAAGTGTGGGTCCATGGGTGCACAGGCTGGGTTGGGAGCTCTAGATCAAGACCCAGAATCCTGCCAGCCCTTTGGATAGAAGGCGTAGCCGAAGTTTACAAGCCTTCTGCTTTCCAGTATATTCAAGTATGCTCATACACGCATATATATGTATATATGTATGATGCATATATATATATATATATATGTATATATATATATATATATATATATATATGATGTGTGCATATGTATGTTGCATATATGATGTAAATATGATGTATATATGATGCATTTATGATGTACATGTATCCATGTATATGTAAAAATATACATATATATATACACCTCTAGTAACGCTCTGCGGTTGCAAGGTCGAACTTCCAGCCTGTCCTGATCGTGAAAGCTTGGATCTTTGTTCTGGCCTGGTATTGCTACCTGTCAGAGGACGGATTGTGGATGAGGGTTTAGGGTTTAGGGTTTAGGGCTTAGGGTTTAGGGTTGAGGGGGCATTCAAGGTCGTCTTCCGCCCACACCCGCTACACCAGTGCATAAATGGAGACGGAGATTGGCACATTAGCACCCGACACCTTGCCTTCCATCATTCAACAAAGTTACAGTGGGTTATGGCTTAATACAAATGGACCAAGTAAGCTGTATAAATCTGAACTCAAGCTCGTCTCCGTCCTCTGTCCGTTCCAAGACCATGACCCCCAAACATCTTTGATGCCTCACAAATCCGCCAAGATCCCTCGAAATCCCTCAGCCCTTCACCAACCGTTGGTCCCCAGCACGCAGCAGGACCCGCGCAATGGCCACATCTGGTATCCCACCTTTAAGCGTGCCGGGGTCCCGGCCGTCGACATGCCTGTCGTTTCTTTCCTTTTGGGGGAGGGGGGGTGTTAATTTCAAGGTTCAGACAAGAATTGAAACATTGGGTTTGTCAAGTTCTTTCCCGATTAGGCCTCGGATTTCTTTCTAGAGGTCTCTTGCGTCAGGTCAGGAGGCAGCATGTCCTTCAGCCTCTCAATTGGGGGGAGGAGGTTGGTTCAAAAGGGTTGCCAGAAGGATATCTGTGCATGACTGTAGCTGCCATCTCAAGCTAGCCTTGTGAAGATTACTGATAGACCTTCAGTTTACATTCTTGAACTCTGTCGAACTGGCTCAGTTTCTCGTACTGGCGCGAAGAATACTTCGTGTAGCAACAGGAACAGCCGGCACACGGAATTCGGCATATATTTCTTGCGACCTTCAGCCCCACGATATCCCCAAAACAGGCGAACGCGTTGCAGTTTATCGCCATGTTCGACTGTACTGTGGCTGCGGTGCCGGCCACAGATCAATTCGGCTCTGACGGGGACATACTTGGCCCCAGAAGTATGTAACAGTGAAGCTGCAGTTGGTTTGGGGCTCACATGCTGAAGCCTGGATGCGGGATTTGGTTTAGGCAGCCGGAAGTTTCGGAAGGGTCGCGGCATCTTGAGTTGCAGGGGCCAAAGAGACCCGGAAACCCAAAAAGCCGCAAAGGCCGAAAGGCCTGAATGCCAAGCTCGTGAATCCTCAGATCCCCTACATCCATACGCCTCAGAATCACCCGTGCCACTGTGTGGCTTGGTAGCCCAGTGGTCCTCTTTACCCTTTTTTTGGGTTCTGGGTTCCCTTATAAAACAACCAACCCCAAAAAGGGTGCCCTTATCATCATATGGTTACTGGGCTACCAAGGGCGGGGATCCCAGAGTCGCTCAATCGGTCAAGGCAGCTCCAGACGTCCCAAGGCCCCAAGCCCCCAAGAAGGAGCAACCCTACACTCCTGAAGCCCCTAGGCATGCAACCCTTCAGCCCTAAGCCCCGAATCCTCAGACTGTAAACCCTAAACCCTAAACCCTAAACCCTAAACCCTAAACCCTAAACCCTCCCTGTATCCTCAGCCGTCCGTTCTCTGACGAACCCGTCCCAGACCCTGGAAGTGCTCAACCTCTTCCACGGCCTGGGACAGAGGCCCTCTGGGGTTTAGGGTTTAGGGTCTAGGGTTTAGGGTTTAGGCTTTAGGGTTTGGGGCTTAGGGTTTTGGGTTTACTTGAGAAGCTCCTGGGTTGACTGGGTTGAGGGTCTTCGAAATGGTCCTGGGCGTAGATTTGGAAAGGACCTTGAGGTTTCTGGGAGCAGGAAACAATGTCGCTGAGTTTATATGGCCCGCATGCCACGCGGGCCACGACAGTCTTGGGACGAATGCGAGCAGTACTCTGGAAAGTAGGAACAGTCATTCCAAGTTGGCAGAATTGAACCATGGCCGGGTATCGAAGTTCTTTTGGGGGTGAAGTTTTTGACTTGGGCTGTTTGAAACCTCGAAACCACGAATCCTTACCCCACGAAACCCTTCAGGTCCCAAATCCAAAAGTGGACCTCCATAGCAAGAGGTTGCATTAGGAGGCCCCGATGAAGCCGTGCAAGCGACGATATGTCGTTCTGGACACTGAGCCGGTGAATTACTTTCCTGGGGTTTCGCATGCCGACAGATTCCCACCACGTGTGGTTGACCACCGGTTAGTTGAATGCCTCAAAAGTTTGTGATTGCATGCGCAGTGATGTGATGTCCGGCGTCGCCGCGAATCAGCAGGGTTGATGTGATTTCAGATTGGATCATGTGACTGAACCTGTGCATTTCTCTATGCTTACCGAACAGAGCCAATGTGCATGGGCCTAAAGGGACGCAGTAACATGGGGCCACAACGAAGCCGAGGGCATGCCAGGAAAAGACAAACCCACTAGACTCACTACAACAGTTGCATCCTGGGGAGCCCCTCTTGTGCTGAGCCCGTGCGAATGCGCGGCCGCAGCAAGACCCCTGACAGTCTTTAAGCACACCATACGCGACGCATCACAACAAGCGCAGAACTTACACTTGGCCCAGGCCAATCAGCGCCTTCTGCAGTGCATGCGCTGGGAAGCCTAGTAGAAGGGAGTTTGTGGAGAGTCGACCAGGGGAATTTAGTTACATAATCTCATGTTTTTCTTGAGCTTCCGCATTGCTATAGTTCAAGTCATCCGGAATTCCTGTCCAATACTTCAAGCTCCCACTGGTGGCCTTTTCCGTGCACATTTGCTCAGGAGTATTGAGGGTTTAGGGTTTAGGGTTTAGGTTTGTTTAGGGTTGTTGGAGACCTGAGCCAAGGTTACGGCACACTGGAAGCCTCGTCGCGAAGTTTTCAACAAGTGATAGTTGCGAAGCACTCTGAAGTTGAGATAGGTCAGAAAAAATAGGCAGCCTCAGAAATCCACACCCGAGCCCTCTACCGCCCCACTTGAACAAAAACCCAGGCTTAGAGTTAGGCAGACCCCAAAACCCGCAGTGGGGGGTTCAGGATTCTGGGATTCGGCTTCCCGGTTGGGGTTTGGGGGGCTAAACCCTAAACCCTAAACCCTAAACCCTAAAGGGGGTTGGCTCCGCAGCGCGAGGTCGGCAAAGGCGCGCGTGCGGGGCACTCTCTCTGGCTGATGCGGAGACTGCCCCTCACCTGAGATCCAGACGGTTTAGGGTTTAGGGTTTAGGGTTTAGGGTTTAGATGGGTTTAGGGTTTAGGGTTCGGGGTTTTGGGCTGTAGGGGAGGAAGGATGGGGGTGGCAGCGTAGACCAGGTTGACTTTAACAGGGCTTCATGTGGGGCTGAGGTTCAGGGGCCAGGGCTTGGGGCTGGGTGTTAGGATGTGTTAGGAAAGCTCTGAACCTTAAGTCACGGCTCGCCCAGATTCATGCTCGTGGTGACGACCGGTCCGGCATGCCTGTTTGCAGCCATGCTATCGAGGGTTGGTGGTTTAAGGTTGATAGGTTCAGGCCGTTTTGGGTTTAAGTTAGAAAGGTCCAGGGTTAGGATTCAGTGTTGAAGCATAAGGCTGGAGTCTCGAGTTTAAGTTCAAGGGGGTTCAGGGTTTAAGTTTAAGTTCTGCCCCCTGAGTTGAATTATGATGATGTTTTGCGTTTTGGCGCTCCGCTCAACACAGCGCGCCCTCAGACTCAAAAGCCAGCTTAGGGTTTCAGGCAGACTGAAACACTTGGAAACCCCACAGCTGGCAATAGAAAGGACATGGGTCTTGTCCAAGCGTTGGGCCTTTTGGCCGGTTTAGTCACCTGCCCCTTTTGCGTGCTTCAAGGACCTGCCGCAAAGCTCGGGGACCATGGGTCCTCTAAACCTCAGGGGTCCCTAAACCCGCAAGCCTACACTCTAGCTCCGAGATGCCCCCGCACATCAGAGGAAAGGGTGCAGCAGACCACCAGTTGTGGCTTGGGGTTGAGGGTTGAGAGTGTGCAACCCTAGAAACTAGACCCGATCCTGGATGTCCCTCAACAGCCCTCCGCCCTGAATCCTGTTGCGAGTTGCGACTCCACGGCAGGCGGTGCAGTCACCATTTGGACATTCAGGTACATTGAGGCTCGACAATGGCTTGGCTTTGGGGACAACAGTTTTAGGTCGTCTGCTTCGGAGCATTGTTTTCGAAGCTCGAACCACCAGCGGTACGCTTCGCACGCTGTACATGCTGTCGATTGGCATCTTGGGTTTTAGTGATGCCCTTGACCAGGACATTGACCTCAACAAGACGACCGAGGATAGCGCTTTTGGGTTCAGGGTTTTATAGAGTTTTTTTGGTTTTCGGGGTCGATCTTGAAATCCTTGGCAGGTGTTTGGGAAGGGTCTTATAGGGCTTGTCAGGGCCTTCAGGTGAGGGTTGAGCAGAGGGTTCTGGGTAAAGGCTTCGGATTCACGGGTTGACGTCCTGGGAGTCATGTGGCTTAAGGTTTGAGGCTGGAGGGTTTCGGTGCGTAAGCATTCCAGGGCCACTGAATCCCAGCAGGTGCAGAGGGAATTCCCATACGACCCAAAGCTTAAACATTTGAACCGCAGACGCCACGCCACGGGAAGCTTCTAACCCCAAAGCTCACCTGCTTGTTTTTTTTTTGGGGCGTGGGTTGCGAGGATATCACGGCGCTCAAGGACGGCTACTCCGAGGACCAGCGCAAGGCGATCCCTCACTCTCTAGTTCCAACACAACCTTGTCTTGGATCCTCCTACCATGGGCAGTACGTAACATCCCTGAAGCCTCAAGTTCCCCAAAAAACCATAAGCCCTAGAAGGCCGAAGATCGTCTGAGATTGAGAGGCTCCAGCTTTACCCCGGATTCCCTGAAGCTCGGACCCTAAAACCTGCATAAACCCCTTGCAGAATACAGGCTGGCCCCCTTCTTCGGCCTAGAACCACTCCAAGAGCCCCAAACAGAAGCCCCAGTCAAACAGGCCCTGTAAGAAGGGGTGTTCGGGTCGAGGGTTTTGTTGGTTGATTGGGGTTGGAGAATGTGGGAACGAGTCAGGCTCTGATGGCCGCCGCCTGTGCTACCCGGCTGCTACACCCCTGCTCTAGGGGTTTAGGGCCCCCCGAGAGAGTTTGGGGTTTCGGGTTCAGGGGTTCAACTTCGGTCTGGGGCTTGAGGTGTGGGGGCTTGTGGAGGTTGGGGCTTAAAGGGCTGACCACACTTCAACCTGCAAAGCCTGTCCCACGCAATGAGATGAGAGGAGATCGACTGAAGTTTGCTTGGGTGTCAGGAGGGGTACCAGGGTGTGGGGAGCAGAAGGCCGCTTTCGGGGCTTTTGGCATGAACGCAACCGACGTGGAATCTCAGGGTTCAGGGTTGCCAGCCTAGAGCTTGACAGGGCTTAGGGCTTGGGGTTTGGGGTTTAGGGTTTAGGGTTTAGGGTTTAGGGTGAAGGGTGTAGGGGTTAGGGCTGAATCCAATCCGGCGGCTCAGGTCATCCTCGTGCGAGTCCTGGCCTTCTCGCTGGTGACAAGGTGCCGCAGAACCTGCTCAGGTATACAGGAACTATATAAGGTATATACTATAGGGGCTATATAGGGGCTGTGTAGGGTTTAGCCCTTCCGGGTTTAAGGTTTTGAAGTTCTTCGCCCAAAGCCGCAGCTACAAGGCCCGATGAAACCCGCAACTCGCCAAGGCAGAAGGCCCTACACCCCAAAACCCTGGACCGTAAACGCTGCCCACAAAGACCGAAGCAGTTGGCAGGCCTTTTGCCATACCTTTCATTGACGGCCGGCCGCAGGCCCCTGGAGTGGGAGCGCGTTGCGCGTGGGTGCTTCTTTGACCTCGAACCCCCCACCCGCCAAACCCAGAAACCCTGAAGCTTCCAAAGTCCAGGAGGTCGGAGCATGAGCTTGAGGGTTTAGAGGTTTGGTTCCAGGATTTCCAGCTTCCGAAAACCCGGGTAACCTCAAAACTCACTTCAACCCGCAAGCCTTCCATCCTGCCTGACCCACCGTGGCTGCCCAGAAGAAGACTGCCGCGCCTTCTTCGCGGCTTTGGTCTCAGATGCTCTTAAAGGAGCTTTGTTCCCGGAGGGAGCTGTGCAGCTTGCTTGGCGCCCGTCAACAAAAGGGTTTGGGGTTCAGGGGCTTAGAAATCAGGGCTTGGGGGTGAGGATTCAGAGGATGTTAGTTAGGGTTTAGGGTTTAGGGTTTAGGGTTTAGGGTTTAGGGTTTAGGGTTTAGGGTTTAGGGTTTAGGGTTTAGGGTTTAGGGTTTAGGGTTTAGGGTTTAGGGTTTAGGGTTGAGGGTTTAGGGTTGAGGGTTGAGGGTTGAGGGTTTAGGGTGCGAGTGGGTGAGCTCAAGAGTGGAGCCCTCTGAGGCCGCTTCGGCCCCTGAACGCCTCGGCGCCGCTCCTCCGAAGCGGCCTCTCTGCGGTGGAGTCGGCAGCGAGGAGGCCCCCTGTTTTTGGCAGTTCAGGGGTGGTCCAGGGCTTAGAAGGGCTTATACTTATGAGGGTTTATACTTATAAGGGCTTATACTTATAAAGGCTTATACTTATAAGGGCTTATACTTATGAGGGTTTCCTGCATCGCCCTAGCCCCGAACCCCAAGCCCCAAGAACAGAATGAAAATGCCAAGCCCTCCAGCCCCGGGATGAGGAAAGGGTGGGAACGCTGATCGCTGAGGCACAGGGGTTTAGGTATCGGGGTTTCATACCTTTCAGATCCCGCGCCTACTCCCAGGCCCTATCAAGCCATGGCTTGCAAAACTGCAGCCACAGCCAGACGTAAACTCCCAGCACTAAGCCCTCAAATAGCCCTAAAAGCGGTCCCTCTGAGCCCTAGAGCCCTCCAAACCCATGAGATTTCTGTGCGAAGCCCGGGGCATCCCCATGCCCAGGGCACCGGATCCAGACGTGGAGGCCTTTGTGGGGGTTTCAGGGCTTGGTGGGGGTTCCAGGAGCCCTCCTGAAACTTTTCGAAGAAGGTCGCAGGTAAACCTCCCCATGAGCCCAAACCCCACGCTTTTGAAGCCTGAATCAAAATCGACTGGCATAGACAAAATATGCAGTTTCCGGAGACTTAAAAGGGTGGGCTTAGGGAAAGCAAGCGGTAGACGCCTCCAAAGCCCTCCAAAAAAACAGGGTCTTGCCCCCCTTGAAATGCTAAATCCCCTAATGAAGCCCTGCCTCAAACCCTAAACCCCAAACCCTAAACCCTTAAACCCTAAGCCCTAAACACTAAACCCGAGACCCTAAACCCAATTGATCCGAATCCACCACCACACCAACTGCCCAAGGAGCCCGGGCGACCTGCAGACCAGGACTCCGCTGGCCTGAAACGGGAGGAGGCCCAACTTCTCCCTTGAACTCTGAATCCCTAAACCCTAAACCCCCAAAGTCCTAAGGCCCTGGGCCCTGAGTTCAGGGTTCAGGGTTCGGGGTTCAGGGGTTCAGGGGTTCAGGGTTTAAGGTCAACCCCTACAACCCCTAGCAAGCCCAAGAGCCCGAAGCCCCTCAACCGGTTACCATAGGGCTCGAAGCCATCCTAAGCCCCTGAAGCCCATGTTGGAAACGGAGCTTCGTTGCTTAGCGTCACCCTTGGTTTGTTTTTTTTGGCTCGTGAGCTCGAGCAGACCGCAGCCAAGGACGCTGCAAAGGTAGTCTCTGGGCCCGGGGCTGCAGAGAAAGGAAAAGGCGACTCTCACAGGCCCTACTATAGGGGCCTATTTAAATTGGACTAGGACTTTGGGGGGGTGATTATCGTATAACTACAAAGGAACCACAAGGGATTACCATTGGTAATTATTCCGACCCATTATCATTTGCACCAGATGTCGTCGAGTCCTTTGCCAGGTCCGCCTGCTGCGGGAGTTCGCATGGTTTGTCATGCTGCTCGGCGCACCGTTCGCCAACTCAAGGGGGGCACTAAAAGCGCCCGACGAGACGATTTGGGAGCTGTGTTGGAGTGATGAAAGGTTTGGGGGTTCACAGGTTAAGGGTTTAGGGTCTAGGGTTTAGGGTTTAGGGTTTAGGGTTTAGGGGCGGGTGTGGGCTTGTGCCAAGATGTTTCTGACTCCCTTGCACACGAAACAGGCAGCACTAATGCAGGACTCGGCCCAAAGCCTCGGCCCTGGCTCCCCAGCCATCTCAAGTCGCAAGCAGCCCCGTGACACCGAACCGAACTCCTCTGGCCTTGAGAAATATTGAAGCCCTGCAGCCCAACAGCAATCTCAGAGGCCACAAAGCCCCTGACGACTGACACTTCCCAGGCTCCTCTCCTGCTTTCTCTTCGAGCTTCGGTTCATTGTGCCCTTGAGCTGCAGAGGGAGCGGAGATCCCTCAACTCTGAAGCCGGTACTGTGTATGCTTCATAATGTGAGCTGCAAGTGCAGGGTCTGGGCTCGTGGTCGAGATGATGTCACAGAGGGGACCTCTAGACGTGTCATCGCTCGAAAGCCGAGGCCGCTGATCGCCGACTTTGAGTTCGGATCCACGGCTCAGAACATCGGGGCTTTCCGGGCTTTTGGCAAGAGCAGCCATGATTTTTTCGGGCCTTCGGGGGGCTTTTCAGTGGCTTAAGTCGCGCTTCTAGGAGTCTCGGGCTTCCTGATGAGGGCCTTGCGGGGGCAAGGTGGTGTGAATTCCAGCCCTTTGAGAATTTCATCTCAGATCCTAGCCGAGTTTGTTCTGTGCCTCGCACAGGGTGCCTTAATGGTGCTCCACGGTGCTCTCCTTTACTCCTGGACTTCTGAAGCCTCTGGGCTTCCCTTTTCTGAAGTTTGCTTGGGGTTCTGACACGCTCATTGGAACCAAGATGCTTTCTGCGGAGATACCTGCCACCTGCGCGACCTGGTCGCAAACCGCTTTGCCTAAACTCGAAGCAGGTGACCTTTAGCGCCGAAGACGACGGGATGGTTTGAAAGAGTGTTCTGGGGCCCTATAGGGTGTGTTTGAACGTATGGCAGCTAGAAGAACGCAGGGTGGGGGTTACCAGCCTCGAAGTTGTTCGCAGTGCCTTTGCAGCTTGTGACGGTCATCGCTGGCAGGCCGTATGCTCTGTCTGGCTACAGTCCTGTGAAGCTTCTGCTGCTGAGGTAGAACGAAGTACTTCACCTTCATTTCCAGTGACTGCTATGCCTGCGTTGGCGGCCTGGCGCTTGTCTGGGCCCTCGTGATCCTCACGGCCTTTTTCGAGACCTGCCTGGATCAGAGTCGCCCTCATGTATATGATCAGGAGACCGGAAACCCCAAATCCCAAATCCCCAGCTGAGACCCTGAATCTCTGAAAATCCAAATCTGCGTCCTTTATATCATGCAGCGGAAGAAACATCTGTGAAAGAATCTGTCTGCACCTGAGGACATCTACTACATCTTCTATGTTCCTCGCTGGCCTGGTGTATTCTAGATTCGGAGATATTCGGGGAAGTGATTGTGGTTCCAAGTAATGGAACCTTGCACATGTGTTGGGACAAGTGCTCCATACGACCGATGCCCAGAGGAGCTCCTAAACCTCCTAAGCAGCCTACGCGCCTCCTCTCACTGCTTCCCCAGTTCCGCTCGATTTGTCCGGGATGTGGGGAGCAGAAGCGGGAAACTTAAGGAAACCCAGCCTTCGGAGAGGGCGGGGTATGCCGTTTTGCGGCTTTCGGGTTTGGGATGGTTTTAACACTCGGGCTTAAGCCCGCAAAGGCAGCCCAACCCTGATGTCTGAAAGCCTCGCATACAAACGTATGAGGCCCCAGTGCATTTTGGGGAGTCTCCCTGCCTGCGTTTGAGGCTGGGACGGCCGTATTTGGCTACGGCGGCTTGGAGTTGCTAATGGCTTCGATTCACCCTGGAACCGTGTTTTTACATTCCTGCATCCTATAGCCTGCGTTCCGAACTCTACACCCTTAATATCCCTAAGCCCAGAACCTGGAGCTTTCAAGGGCTTGAAGGGTTTGGGCGTCAGGGGAGGGCCCAAGCCCGATATCGGCTGTGATGATTTTGTTTTTTTAGGGTGTCCAGGGGTTTACAGTGGCTTGGGCTTGTGCCATGTTGGTTTAGGTTGCAGCTGAAACCCGAGATTGCCGATTTCAGGGGTTGTCGGGTCATTATCAGCACCCAAGCTGTCAGCGGAAAGAGGTTTTAGCGAGCTCTGCACCCGAACTTTAAGCCCTAAGTCCTGGACCCTAAGCCCTAAACCCTAAACCCTAAACCCTAAACCCTAAACCCTAAACCCTAAACCCTAAACCCTAAACCCTAAACCCTAAACCCGAAACCCTAGATGAGCTTGTCCTGCACTGGCTGCGCGCCGAGGCATGGGCGAGTGGCGTGGCCTTCGGAATGCCGGAGGCTCAGAGGTTGAGAGATCTCACAGGGTTTAGGGTTTAGGGTTTAGGGTTTAGGGTTTAGGGTTTAGGGTGTCGGAATGCGGATTCGGGTGTAGGGTCTGTACCCGGGTTTGGCTGGATGTTCTTAGGCTTTAGTAGGTTTTATCCCCGGGTTCTTAAATCTTCTTCGGCTTTACGTAGGTTTCAGTAGGGCTCGT